TTTGATCATTAAGGATTAAAGATTTATTAGACATGGAGTGAGAGTTTAAAAGAGCAAAGACACCTGGAGTAAGGGGCTTAGCTGAACTGGAAATATTACAGCAGACTATAATGAAATTACCGTAGCAGTTGAAGACACAGAATGCTGGTACTGGTATCAATTCTAGATGCGATCCTAACAGGAATACTGTACGAGTCCAGGGAGGTACAGTCAGGTCAGGGGTCAGGAGGTGAAAATGAAAAGAAACGTATCCTAATGCTTTTGTTTTCTCCCCCCTGCTGTACCCAACTCGCATTGAACCGAGACTTTTGTGTACTGTTACATCCCTACACAGCGTGACTATCCCGTAGAGCAGTGGTTCTCAAACTTTTTCTGTCCCGCCCCACTTTGGAGGAAGTAAAATGTTCATGCCCCACCGCCCCAACAAAATTGGAACAAAATGGTCTATGTTGAATTTTTATTGAAATAACATTTTGTGACTCCTCCGTCTGTGCTTTTTCAAATAATAGAATAAAGAAACTTGCAATCACTTTTAAGTAAACCAGATTGCTCCATCAGACAAAAACAAATAAAATGTGCAATCACTTTGTTAGAACAATGCACATAAAGTTATATCTGTGCAAAAAATAACTACAATTTGGCAAAAAATAGCTTATTGCAATTGGCTGCAATTAACCTGTTTTGCACAAAACATCTTTTCAAGATAACAATAAAGTGCAACCTGTGAAAAACTAAACAAAACAAGTTCAAATATTTGGCTATAAAGAGTTTTACACTGCATTTTGCTTGCGGTGTTCATCAAGTTTTCTCTGAAAGAACTCCAGTGGCTTATTGACGTGAGTGGGGTGTAATGTCTCCAAGTGTCTTTTTAATTTGTTGGGTTTCATACTATCCGCAGCTAGAGTTTTCAGACATAAAACACAGACTGGTCTCTCCTCATCTCCTACCGCATTCACTGTGAAACCCAGAGCAAGATAGGCGTCATCATATTTTCTTCTTGGCTGCTTGCTGTTCATCTCGGATGCATCGCTTCCGGTTGCTTTTCTGTTCCCGCCTGCCAAATGTCTCATATGCCTTCGCACATGCGCAAGCATAACCTGTTAACGGCGTAACGTAAACATTTACACGAAAGTACAGGCATTTCGCCATGTATTTATTAATTAATTTAAAAAAAATAAAAATAAAAAAATAAATAAATTCTGCATTTCCCCCTGCGCCCCACCTGTAATACCACCGCGCCCCAGTAGAGGGGCGCGCCCCACAGTTTGAGAACCACTGCCGTAGAGAATGGACCCACCCACTTCACTCACATCAACATGTGCAGACACAAAGGCAATGCGTACATGAATCCCGAGTGTGTGTGCATTCCCATGCTTAATTATGCCAACAGCTGAAGAGGATTTTGAGTTCAATAGTACTTGAATTAGCTTGACGTTAGGGAGAAGCAGTCTCATTCCATGGTCACTGTGAGGACACGGAGAACTGTCTGGTGAAGGACAACTCGTAGCATTTAAGTGTTCTACTACGTCTTCATAACAGAGCGGGCAGTGTTGTCCGATGACCATTGGGCCACTTTGAGATTGCATCAGTCAGCTTTATTACAGCCTGGAGACCTGCACAGTCAGTGTATGTAGCGGCCCATGTGTGGCTAAATCTGCTCTGCTTGAGTAAAGAGGTACAGAAACCACATCGGGGTCCTGCGTTGAGTTTATTGTTCACAAGCTGTTGAGAGGGGCTCTGACGAGTCATGACAGCTTCGTGCACGAGACATGCTGCCTTCATTTGGATACACTTGAGTCATTTTGTATATCTGCTTGAAAGAAGTGTACTCTCCATAATGCCTCTCCCCTACCAACAATCACTTTATAGAAGTTTTTCCCCAGCCATATTGGGTACATGCATTCTGTCAGACTGCATTTTATGTATACCCTCTCTATCATGCACAGTCTAGCAAACAAGTATTGTATTTTGTATACAGAGAAGAATAATACTGTATGGGCATCTGTGTTGCTGAGACATTTTCAGCAAAGTTTGGATGAGGTCTGGCTATAGGATTTCCTTATCTCACTCTGCAACCTTTGCTGTCTTCATACAGGTGCTTCATACAGCAGCCTGTGACACAGATCATCATAAAAGAAAAAAATATAGAACTGCAGGATTGGTTTCTAAAGTGCATTTTTTGCCAGACTGACGCTAAAGAAATCCAAAAACATTTCGAGACCTTAAGACGTGTTGTTTTTACTCTTATATAGACAATTAATATCAGCTTGACAATGCAACCCAAACACCTAAGGGTCTACAATAATCCATTCCCACTCAGGCTTTCACACATACTGTAGCTATATCAATTCGTCATAATATTGAGTGTGGTCTCTGTAGTTTGCATAAAGAGCTGCAGCTGCAGAGGGAGAGAAAAGGGTTCACACAATGAACACACACATGCATAAACACAACCATGTATATAATTGTGTTTACGTTGTTCATGTTAGTCTAATTGAAGCATTCAGAGACTCTATCACATCAAACAGTAATCTGCTGGTCTGTCTGCCTCAGTTTGAAGTCTTTAGGATAAAGCAAAACCGAAAATGAATGTGAATAAAAAAAGGATACCACAGGCTGCAGCAGTATGCACTTGGTAATAGCTTTTAGTGTCCAGCATGTGTCGTACTATAGGAGGAATGATCAAATGAAATTTGTTATCATTTCACATTCTCTGTGTCCCCCTATACCTGATTTTCCTACTAACACTCCTGACATTTATTGTGTCACACCTCAACTCTCAGCTGCCTCTGCAGAGCACAGACAATCAGTACAGCGAACATGTGGCTGTTAAAGTACCTGGACTGGTGTTCTGAAGAATGCAGACACATCGTGCACACCTCCCCAAAGTGGTCATTACATTACATTATAACAGCAAGATATGTTGTCTGGAAGTCCACAGTTGCCTGTTACATGTCACCTCTTTGATTTGACTGCTGGGAGTTTAGTCATCAAGCCTGTTGGAGCCTCTCACACGGCGCTCACACTATTGGCTGTAATGCCGCACTTTCTACCACGAGCCAGGGGAGACCCATTCTGGTCCGGGTGTTTATCTTGCAGCTTCTGGCAGTGATGCCGTTTTAATGGTCGGCAAAGCGAGCTTCAATTGACATTAGGGGAAATTTAATGTTCAAGGGCACTTGTCTTTTTAAACTCCTTGGCTTTCATCTCCACATATTTCCATTACCCCATTCATATTCTGGCTAATGAAGATCTTTTTGCACTTAACCTGACCGATGGGAATTCTCCTACCCACAGGACAGCAGTAGAATGAACCCGTTACTGGGGAGGTGGAGGAAGTATGTGAAAAAGGAAATCCGTGCAGATTCCGGGGAGCCAAAAGATTAGATTCATTTAGGAAATCACTTTTAAGGCTTTCAGACGTAATTTAACAAATCTTGCTTCGCTGTAGCCTCCAAGCCAGCCTGAATCTCACAAGATGTATTTCTTTTTCTATTGCAGTCTGGAAAAGATCTACAGAGAATCGACAGAGCCATCCAAGTGTAAGCTTGACCAATCAGAGAGCTATAGATGATAGGTGACTGGGCACCTCAACTCCTAATCCTTGTTTTGGGCTAATAAACGAAGCAATGCCTATTTCTCTTCTAAAAGTAATGTATAAAAAAAACAATGTCAGTGGACCAATGTACGAGTCCAGACTGTTTTGAACGTTTTGAAAGTGTTTGTCCAGTGGAAAAGACCACAAAAAGCAAAGAATCATTTTCTGAGCTTCAAAAGGATTCTCAGGAGATAAAACTCAAACTGCAAAGAGCGCTCTTTCATTGTTTCGTACATTGTGAGCATGTTTTTAATATTTTAGTAAAATGGAAGAGAGCGTGACTATTGCTCTCTCTGTAACCATTTAACCTCCTTAAAGAGATTTTCTAAATCAAGGTTCAGTGTTTTGATATTCTTCACATTTTGAAAGACTATAGAGCGATGCTTTCATCCGCTGATGTGCTACAGTTATTCCATTTCGTGTAAGCTAAAGAAACCTAAAACAGGGTCACAGCGGGTGTGTCCTTATCATTTCGATGCTTCAAGGTAGTCTTTTGTCGAGCACAGAATTGCAGGACATAATACCAGCTTCAACATGTATGACCTTGATTTGAGCAGTACTGTATAATTCAATGTCTCTGCACCTCAGCGGGTCTGTGTGAGAGATGCATCTAAATGATAGATGACTTGTCATTTATCACTGTCGTCACCTTGGCACTTAGAAGGAAATAACAGCCCAGCCAGGGTGGGTCACTTCCTGTGTGCAGCTGCTTTGTCTCTGCCTAAAACCGTTTAGCTGTCGAGTTGAATGTCAAATACTGTACAATGGCGCGCACACACTTGCACACTCAAAAACATAGTTATTAATCATCAACACGCATCAGCACACATGCATACTTCAGCTCATACTGTCATGATCAGAAAGTTGTGATCAACTGAAAGCTGGAAACTGTCAAATTTTACACAAACTGGTAAGTCAAGTGAATTTCTCAAACTTGTAAAACATTATGAATTGCTTCCTTCCTTTGATACTAGAGTCATACTTAAAGGATTGTGCAAGTAGTTTGGTATATTTAGCCCATAAACTAGATATTAGGCTACACACTGCCTGTTTGGTCTGTCCCCTCTGGGCTACAGAAACATCGCGGTGGAACATGGCCGATTCCGTGAAGAAGACCCGCTCCCTGTGTAGATATGGGCAGCTCTTCTAAGTTATCAAACAATACATTTTAGTGTCTACACTTGGGAGTCGCTGGGGACCTTTGTGCCTGGCAGTGCCAAGGATTGAATGCTTCAAATGCTGAGTCATCTCTTTCATCCTCCCTCTTTGCAATCACTCTCTACCGACACCTGTCAGAGAAATGAACAAGTGCGCTGCTGCTTTCTGGTTGTTCATCAGGGTGTCCACGTCATATTTCATTCACACATTGATTAGTTCCGTAGAAGGAGGGAGTCGGACGTACCTTTGACTGAAACTGTTCTCCTTCCTCCGACAGTGGAGGGTCACAACCCTGTGACCTTCGCTTCTGACATCCTGACTCACCGTCCACACAACAGGGTTACTGGCTCTAGCTCCCAGAAACGCCACCCCGTCCTTCAGCTTGACCCTGAAACACACAGGTTAAAAGAAAAACATGACATTAGAACTGTCCAGTCCATTACTGGAACTGTCACCAGAACGGCTCACAAATGAAGTGTCACAGCTTCAGAAACTCACCCTCTTTTATTCTCTTTCTCTTCCCTGACACAAACAAACATGTTCGAAAGACAGAAATTAAATGAGGTTGGCTTTCATTTTCTCAAGGTGTCAAAACAAACTCCAAACAATCGTTTTCTCTCTATCACACACGTAAGAAGGACATTAAATCATCTACTGAAAAAAAAATGTTTGGGACGACAGTAACAAAAATATGCTTTGCTGATATAAAAAAACAGTTTATTTATTTTTTAAGTATTTTGGTGGTTGCTAGATGATGAAAACACAATAATTACACGTCCAACAAAATTGTGTGGACAAAGGAACTCCATTATCCATTTTGGATAATCATCAGTGAAAAACAACTCAAATGCTTTCAAACTTTACGTTTTATTTCGGGTGAATATTGCTTTGGGGAAGTGAATCTGGCAGGTACAAGTCAAGCAAATCATTTCATTAGCACTGATGGAACCTGAAATAATCCAGAGTCAGGGTTAGCGAGTTCAAATGAACCCCTGTGAAGATGTGTTGAACCACCATGAGAGTACATATGCAGGACTCTTCAGAACATCACACACACACACACACACACATACACCTGGGGCGTTTGCCAGACCTCAGATCCCTGCAGCCTTCATGCCACCTCTGCCCCACCCTATTGTCCCTCTATCACTTCCATTACCCCTGGTCACAGTCTGTGGGGGAGGCTATACAGGTGGCGAAGAACCATGACCTCCTCCTCTTCCAGTGTACTGCCACGCTGTTGCTCTCTTCCTCCTCTGTCACATGCAATTACCATGAAGAACGTGAGCAGCTTTCAGTGCCTTCTTTTCCAACATTACAAATTGCTCCTGTTCGAACCGCTGCCACAAATGCCGCAGAATACGTGTTTTATGCGGGGAAAATGATGGCAGGAAAAGCCGGATCTGAAGTACAACACCAAAGACACAAAGAAAGGTGAGGAGAAAGAAGCATTTCTATTCAGTGAAACATGAACGCAGGGTAATTTTTCCCCGGCATCAATCTAATTGGAGACTGTCCTCGTTCAGGAACTGCGAAAAACTTGTAAAAGATGAAGAGAAAAAAACTGAGCGTTAACGGTGGGATAATGACATGACAAACCATGCAGCAGTCCTTAGAAGAGCGCAGCCATTACATCTTCAGTGTTCAACCGATCTTCTTTGATCCTATCCAGGCCGCCGAGGCGGTGATAACTGGCCTCGTGTTGGTCGCAGGCTTCTGACGAGCAAAGATAAAGGCCGCCGGTGTGGAACACACAGACAATAACTAGGAGGAGACGAGTGATTGTCGTCTGCCCTCCTGTCTTCCAGTGGTTGCGGCAGCCACAGTAATTACTACAAACTGACAAGCAGATTCAGCACTGACGGTGGACTAACGGGACAGGCAATAATCAACTAATATGAACTGGAGTCTTACGTTGTTGTGTTGATGAAATATAGAAGCCCAATTAGAGCGGGGACATGCTTTAGGTCCCAGGATGATGTCGAGCAGCACCTTCTTCCTCTCCTTTTCTTTTTCTGCTAACGTATGACAGATGCCATTAACTTATTGTGCTTGCATCAGTGCTCAATTTTGATTTTGAACTGATGGTTTCAGTAATTTTTTTAAAAATAGTCAGTACTAATTAACACATGCATAAACGTGCTTGTTTAGTCTTTTTATAAAAAATATATAGGTCTTCTATTGTGTTTAGTAACTGTATTTGGCATTTCATAGAGTCAAAAAACTGGTTGATGAGTACTGATAAAGAACGACTCACTCCTGAGCTACAGTGTAAGTACGCTGTCCATGGTCCTGATACTCTGTGTTCTTAATGACTAACCCTTTCTTTCTTTCTCTCTTTCCTCATACTCACTCTAGTTCTCTCACACGCATGACAGACAAACCCAAGCATGAACTATAGCCAACAAGTAAGCATCCTGAATTACCAAATGGCATGTTGTAAATGAGATTGCTTTGGCTAATATGATTTCTGTTGAGAGAGGAGGAGGAGGAGGGAGGGAGGGGCAATAAAGGAAAGCGATTCGAAAGGAGGCCCCTTTCACATGCATCAGCACATGAAGCTGCCTCATTAATTCCATGAAAACCTGCATCAGTGGGATGAGTATTTACAGATGAGATGAGGTTGTCAGAAAAGTTTTCAGCTCTCTCCTGATTGATGCTCAGAAATGACACCCCCCTGGATGGCATGTCACCACACCTCGCATTCTGGCATGCCTCTCGTATGCTGCATGAACTACTAATGTACATTAATGTTACTATGCACAGCGGGGAATTAAATGGAATACAAACAATTCTGAATATGACATTTAGACACCATGTTTTACAGATGATAAGCAATCAATGTATCACGATAACAATAGAAAAAGTAGCAATGCATTACCAATCAAATGAAACCCAATTTCTACAAAATTTAAGTTTGACACGTCAAATATAGGCAACTGCAGATGAATGACCTGAGCAGTGGCTGAAAAATACATCTAGAATTCCTCCATTGACAGTGGTGGAAGAAGTATGCATGTTTGTTACTGAAATAAAAGTAACAATAGCACACGATTAAACTACTGCATCACAAGTAAAAGTCCTGTATTCAAAATGTTACATAAGCAATGGTTCAGAACAGCATAATGTACATAAAATGTGGGCCACTTGGTTGCAGCAGAAACGAGCTGCGAACGCAACATCGACATATTAAATAGTCTCTACTGCATTGATGTGCAGGCAGTAATTTGATGTTAGACCTGTTAGGGTCGAGCAATATGTCCAACTGGCCACCATCACCTCAACAACCGGCGATTGGCGATATGTTCACGCAGTTGTGTGTGTGTGTGTGTGTGTGTTTTTGCGCAGATTCGCCATAAACATGTTTTTGACAAAGGAAATGAAACGCACGTTTCCGTGAAAACCAATTTCAGCAAACCATAAGATGATAACGACTGGATATAATTCAGGAAAATGAAAATAAATTGCATTAATGATTACATGCTGTCATTCAAAAACATGTTTTCTACTTGATGCCTAAATGGGCTCTCGTAGTTCCCATGACAGTAGCAATGGGGGGGGGGGTGAGCTGGTGTAAAAGTCTTTGTGGTGTGCACAGGGTTGGAAGGAATGAAAGGGGATAGTGGTTTACAGAGACCAGCCAGGCAAATTAGAAAAGACGAGCGTTGCATCAGTGTGAATGAAAAAGGACAGAGGATGAAAACATTTCGGAGAGGAGAGGAGTCAAAGAGAGGGCTTTATGCTCAATAGGCTAGAGTAAGAACTTGTAGTTTTAGTTCTTTGCTGTCCATTCTGGTCTTGTATTTCCAACAATAGCAAAGAAATATATTAATGTTGTCCTATAGAAGCCATTTGAAAAGGGTATGTCACCCACTAAACTTAAAGTTAAAATTATAATTCATGAGAAGAAACAGGATGAAAACTATTCCCTGTATTAGGTTATAACAGATCATTATTGTTGCAAAGATGGAGACAAAGAGAACCCGATAACTTCACAAGGACATACATGTAGTTAGTACACACACACACACACACACACAGACACACCTTAGTCTGTGTCTATATACGTTGGCAGAGATTGTGTTGTTGGACAAAGCTAACCTTTAGTGGAGATGAATGAAAGCGAGAACAATAGCTCTGATATCTGCTCAGCCACAAAGAAAAGCCACTCTTGGTTCCTCCTGCAGAGGAGGAGCCAGATGGAGAAAAGCTTTAATACAGATAAGTCGCAGCACATTCATATACATCCTGCAGCCAGGTTCTGAGGTATCATTAACTAACCCCATTGAAACGTTTGAAAGAAAAAGTCCTGCATGACAAATTGGTCAGATGGTGAATCAAAAACACACGCTAACTTGTGGCTGGGCATATTTTCCAAATGTATTTTCAAATGTATTATCTGAATTCAATTTACAGACAGCAGGCAAAATTGGCCAAATCACATTGAGCTAGTTAAATTGGCCCGCGTCCCTAAATTCTCAAACACCTGCAGCTAAATCCAGTTATGAAATAAACACACAAGCTGTTTAGAACCCTGGCTTCATTCATGCGCCCTTCCTCCCTCTCTATCTCTCTTGCTCATAAACTAAATAATCTCCATCACCTCCGCGGTAAAATTAAATTAGATAGTCGCCAGTGACAGGTGAACTAGGCTGGGAGCTGGTTCAATAAATTAGTAATGTGAAACAGGGAGATGCTCTGAGTCAATTAGCTGAACACTCGGTGGAGTGTTTTTAAGGGTGAGCAGACACAGCCAGATGCGGAGATAAAAAAAGAGAGCTAATTCAATTAATGAGTATGATGCTGTTCTTCCCATTATCAGAGCTCGTTAAAAGTGCTGGTGCGTGGCAACGCTGCAAACCTATAGGACAAGAAGAACACTATCAGATAAAGAGGGCTCGCCAGACAAAGCTCATCTCCACCCGTGCGTTCTGCTGCATCGCTCTCTGTGTCACCCTTTTGTCTCACTTTCACCATGTCTCTTATCATATCTCCCTCTGTCTGTTTTCTCTGAAACACTCCCCGCTTCCCTCAGCCTTCCTCCCATCGCTCTCTGTATCCTTCACCAGAGCTCCCCGTCTAGCTTTGGAGCTCTGAAATAAAGCTTATTTTATATCATTTTTAATTAGGAAACAGAGATGCTGCACACTGCTGGTCACTTTAAGTCACTTCATTTAATTATCTCATTGCAGTCGGTAAAGCTTCGTTGGGTAATTTGAGGGTCGACAGACCTAAACGTCTTAATTGAGTAAAGTGAGTCCAAGTGATCGCTAGTGTGCAGAAATTCTGAATCCTTCTCACTTTACAGTTTTTGGCCCAACACCCCTATAATTAAGACTTCATGGTGTACCATGCCATGCTATAGCCACGCTAGCAGCTATAGGCTAA